CAAGCGACACGTCTTGTATATTCTATTGTCTTTGATATACAGTTGAAGTCAGAATTATTAGCCCCCCTTTGAATCTTTTTTTTTTTTTGACTTTTTAAATATTTCCCAAATGATGTTTAACAGAGCAAGGAAATTTTCACAGTATTTCTGATAATTTTTTTCTTCTAGAGAAAGTCTAATTTGTTTTATTTCATCAAGAATTAAAGCAGTTTTACATTAAAAAAAAAAACCATTTTAAGGTAAAAAAAATATTAGCCCCTTTAAGCTATATATTTTTTTCGATAGTCTACAAAACAAACCATCTTTATACAATAACTTGCCTAATTACCCTAACCTACCTTATTAACCTAATTAACCAAGTTAAGCTTTTAAATGTCACTTTAAGCTGTAAATAATCTTGAAATATATCACCTAGTAACTTAATAAATAAATACAATAAATAAAGCGAGCATAATAGAGACAGCTGATTAGTCTCGTGGGTGTAATGTTCAATGCGATGCATTCTAGAAAATTTCTGTCACAGCGTACGAATAAGCCATTCATTTATTTGATTGGCTTTAACGCTAAGATAGAATATGCACGGAATGCAATATTTTAAGCTTCTTAAACACACATAGCTATCTACACATGGAAGACATGAAACATGGAAAAATACAACTCGCCATTACAAAGATTCTCCTTCTCGATTCTGTAAATGCGTTTACATCTCCAATTATTCGCATTAACCCTTAGTCTAAAAGCAAGTTTTACAAGTTTTTTGCAAATTAGGGATTTTTTCATTTTTTTCACTTTAAATCTTATATACTTTAAAATGCGCATTAATACAGGGCAATAAAACTCGAGCTGAAACAGATGTCTTATGAAGTGAAATGACTTGTTTATGGAAGAAACTAAACAATATTTTCAACTTTTTTCCACATTTTTGATAGCCTGAGGGTGAGTAAATTAACAAAAAAAGTTTTGTAGTTGAACTAGCCATTTTAGCTTGTTTCCAAATGTCTTTGATCACTGTTATTACTATTGACATGGGATTTATCACAAAGTAGCAGATCTACATCACAAAAGCCAAACAAATGAAGCTGCACTGTAAAAAATATATATTTTGTGATTCATGTTTTTAATTTTCCCCATTTATTTATGGTTTTGAATTGCATTATGAGATCTTGATCTTTCTTCCAACAAATTTTAACCTTGAAGACTTTCTTTTTTTAACATTTGCACATTATGGACAGAGGCCAGTTGGCAAATTTGACCAGGATGCCGGGGTTAAACTCTCTCTTTTATGAAGGAAATCCTAAGATTTTTAATGACCACAGAGAGTCAGGACATCTCATCCGAAAGACAGCACTCACTGAGCACTATACTTGGGCGTTAGGACTCACACAAAACTGCAAGTTGAGCGCCCCCTGCTGGCCTCACTAACACCATTTTTGGCAGCAACCTAGCTTTCCCATGTGGTCTCTCATCCAGGTACTGACCAGGTGCATCCCTGCTTAGCTTCAGTGGGCAACCATGTGAGAGTTGCAGAGAGCTAGCTGCCGACAGCCTTTAACAGACCTATTTCTCTATTTATTATTAATTATGCGTTATATTATTTTAAACTACAAAAATGTCAGTAAAAGTCACTTTGTTAAACTGTAGGGTTGAATCCTCAACATCCTTCTTGCAATTCACAACCAGAAATAAACAAAAAACACTTGTGAATCACAAAATACAGAAACTTAATAAACAGTTTTTGGTTTTGTGGTCTGGTTGTGATGCAAACATCAAAATAGTAATGATTTACAGTTCATGAGAGATGGTTCAACTTGCTTTGAGGCCATAACAGTGTTAGCAATCATACTAAAACAAGTCTTTGTTATTAATCAGTAATGTCAATGAAATTTCTGGGAAAAGAGAAAAAAGTTAACATTTTACTGCCTCCATTGAAATATATTAATGAGGATATTTTTCCATGAATGTAGGTAAAGGTCAAAGTTGGACAAAACCTATGCAACATACCACAACAATCATAAAATTCATGTCTGTGATTTCTAAGGCAAATACACCATATCACTATGAGCGGTATATCTAAATGTTCACAGCTGGACTGAACCATCTTTTCACGGCTGGCATTTATTGTGTATCTCAATGAAAATATCTTCACGGTTTCGCTCATTTCTGACAGGGATCATAAGCGATTCTAATGTGCACTTGGCTCAGTTCTACACTTGGAGATCTTTTCTTGCACGGTTTACTTTTTTTTATAACCTGTCTGTATTTTTCAAGCACAGGAAAATGCCTTCATTATCTTTTTCAGAAGATAATCTTTCTCAGTTTAAAAGTTTATTTAGAGTCAGATCTAAACTCTTCTGGAATGTTGATCTTGAGATGAACCAAGTATGAACTGTGATTCGTTTGTGAGCTTCTGGGTGATTTATGATTTACATTTATTTGTTTGAGTAAAACATCAATTTTGTTGTATTCTGTATACTGCTGATGGCATTTTTTCAAAATTTGAAATAAACATTTTATTTAGATAATTTTTGACAAAAAAAGCCTAACAAATAAGAATATCATGTTTTCAGACATTTATACAAACTTCTAGTCAACACAAAACCAATTTTTTTAACTTAGCAAAAGTTTAGAAATCAATATTTGAAGAAATAAACCTGATTTTTAATCACAACAAATGAAAAGTTAAATATCTTAAGTCATTTTCTCGAATTAGAAAAGCTATAAATGACAATATTTTATTTGAAATTTGGAAGAAACATTATCAAATATGCAACATAGGCATGTCCCCCTTCATACATTTCTGGAGATCGTGAATTACGTAGCCAGAAGTGTGTATGGCTGAATTTTGCCTTTAAAACCAACGCTACGGGGTGGTATGATGCCATTCCTTTTTGCGCTTAGCAGCTGACCGATTACCTCCGTATGGGCAGCCTTGCCGCTGTTACCAGTTTGTTATGTAGCTCGCCATGTACGTCGGAGGACTTAAGACGCAGAAAGGAATTGACCGCAACAACGCGGTTTGCGTCCGGCAAAGAACCATTCCAGAAAGCGGGTAAGACAAAAACAAAAGCAAAAAATCTAAATAAACAAGTAAATAACAAGGTGAGAATGTGGTCAAATCTGAAAAAGAGGTAAAATCAGACGAGGGCTTTTACTTGTTCTGGATTGCTTTTGAAAACTACCAGTTGGGTTTAGGGAAGTGGGTGGGTGGGTCAGTTGATCGGTCTGTCAATCAGTAAGTCAGTCGACAGCGGCCTCTGGTGGATTTACTTGAGAACAGCAGGCATGAATGGGACTTGCTGGAGAAATTGCGAAAACAAAAACTGCAAAAAAAAAAAAAAAAAAAACGTAGCTCCTGGGATATTTTTGGCACTCTCCAGAAATGTATATAGCTATACGTTTTCAGAATGAGCCTGGGTTGCAAATATTTATAGAATAAAATAAACATTAACATTTTACTCAAGTTAAATTTTTTAATCTAGAGTGAATTTAGAGAAACTGAGAATTTTCAAGTGGTCTCATATTTGTTTTTTTCCTTTTCCATAGCTGAATTTTGCTAAATCCAATCCTTAGCTAAAACAACCTGGGATGTTAAGCATGAGCCCTTTGGTTACAACACTCAATAAGCATTCTTATTCATTTATGTAGTAATAAAAGTCTAAAAGCAGTTTTGATACTGAGCTGAAAGGTGGGTGTGATTTTGCCAAGTATGATGTGATCATGGATTAACATATATGTTGACCCTGTAATGTCATGTGTGTCTGAAAATATAATTCATACCTATTCCCTACCACTAAACCCAACCATAACTGAAAATTAATCCCAAAATCAGAGGGGAAAAATAGTTGGATAACAATCATATAGAGGTACATAACCCTAACCAGCACAAAACTTAGCATAAACGTTAAACATATCTCTTAATTCTGATTGGCTGATTGTAATATTGTTACAGGATCAACATAGATTTTAATCCAGGAAAATGTCTCACTTGGTGAAATCACACTAACCAAACCATCCAGTTATCAAAGGTGGATGTTTATTGCTACATAAAACAGTTGTCTGTCAGCAGGAATTTGGGAATCAAATCTCCAGCATTCTATGTCAACATCTTGCAAAGACATCTTGATAACACTTGTGCTGAAAAGGGCGGCTTAGGCTCTTCAAACTACATCCCATGTAAACCTCCAGGCTTTGATTGGGACTCTAGGATGAACGGAGCCACTGAAAGAGCCATTGTATTTAAAGAGACTGTTTGTGTCAAGTTTCACCTCGATCTCACCTTTGGAGGAAGACTTCAATCCATCAACGGAGCTCCGACAGCCCCCTGTACTGCTGTCTCATATTGCATGCAATACAAAGCTGGGTTGTGTTGAAAGGCGAAAAAGAAAACAGAATGGGATCCAATTATACTTGAGATTTCCAAAAAACAAGATTCCCATTGCTGAGGGATGTCATGTTAAAAAAAATCAGATTCCCCCTTAAAAACCTAGGTCAAAGGTCAAACGTTATTCCATAAATATCTTATCCACGGTTTTTGCATATTTTGAGTAACAATCCCCAAGAAGAGCTGTTCTCAGAAATGTGTTGAATTGCTTTGCGAGTGGTGGGGCTTGTGTTTGATTTGTTTGGACTGACCTCACATGGATTGGAGCGAGGCCAGGTTGGAGCTTCAGGTTCAAAGACAACAAAAATCAGCATTCTGTCGCATTTTTGAGCATCTCGCAATTCTAGCAGCTTTGCTGGAATTCCTTTAATGGCATATTGGAGGACCCTGAAGGAAAATAAGCACTGATCCAATGAAAATAGAGTGATCTTGTTCCAGAGAATGCCATTGAAGAACTGTCGCTGAACTCGGTGTGGAGCACGTACCTAACGTCACAGAAGACAGAAAAGAAATTAGCATCGTGATCATCCAGTCTGGGCTTCGGGCCAACATGTTCAATCAGTTGTGCTGTACGAAACAGCTCATGACAGTATCTTAACTACAGTTTCCAGACGAATCTCTCCAAAGTTCCATTTAATATCAATTAAATTTGAGAGAACATCTGTGAAACAGTTACCCTATCAGAAAGTACTGTACGAGGCTTCAATTGCCTTCAAGACGTCCACTCTGATAGGTTTTCTTAAATTCAGTACTCTCAGGCTCTTTTCTAGCAAGTTCATATAGACGCCTTCCTGCAGTTAAAATAAAATTCAATGGCCATTGATCAAATGTCATTTTATAAAGACTGAGAATCTGCATTATTCCATCAAATCTGGCTTTCTCGACTTTCACTTGATTTAAAAAACTGCTATTGCGTTGTATAAATTTACTTGCTCTATTTAAATTAGCATCGTGATCTTCCAATCTGGGCTTTGGGCCAACATGTTTTATGAGTTGAGCTGTATGAAACAGCTCAAGACAGTATCTTAACTAGTTTCCAGACAAATCTCCAGACGAAGTTCCATTTAATATTGATTAAATTCGAGAACCCAATCAGAAAGTACTGTACAAGGCTTTAATTGCCTTCAAGATGTTCACTCTGGAAGGTTTTTGATGTAAAACTCAGTACATTCTGGCCACTTATAGCTCGTTCATGTTGTTGTCTTCCTGTGGGTAAAATAAAATTCAATGACAATTGATCAAATGTCATTTTGTAAAGACTGAAATTCAGTGTTATTCCATTAAATCTTGCTTTCTTGACTCTTCAGTTGATTTAAAAAGCTGCTATTGGGTTGTCTAAGTTTACTTGCTCTTTTATCTGGGCTTCGGGCCAACATGTTCAATCAGTGGAGCTGTACGAAACCGCTCATGACAGTATCTTAACTACAGTTTCCAGACGGATCTCTCCAAAGTTGCATTTAAAATCAATTAAATTCGAGAGAACATCTGTGAAACAGTCACCCAATCAGAAATCAGGCTTCAATTGCCTTTAAGAGATCCACTCTGGTAGGTTTTCTTGAATTCAATACTCTCTGGCCTCTTCTAGCTCATTCATATAGACGTTTTCCTGTGGGTTGTCAACACACTGTAAACCGTTATTGGGAGGCCGAACCGAATGAAAGCGGCTCCAGTCTCCTTTACACAGGATCCATGGGAGCACGTCCACTTTGTAATGAAGCTCCGGGGAGAACTCTGTACTGATGAGGTTTGGGGCCCCGGCACCTTTTCCTCGTGTGATGAGCTTCATGTGATCATCGTAGCAGCAATGTTGTGCCGCCAGAGTAGTGCTGTCGAAGGAGAGCATGGAGCGAATGCAGAACCTGGCGGAGGGCTTGTAGATGTCCAGTCTCTCTTTGGGGCCGCTGGCATCTCGCCATCGATAGGTCTTCTGCAGCTTCCTGTCAAAAACGTTGACAGCACTGTAGACCACCTCGGATGGGTAGACACATGGGCAATTGGGTAACTCAGTCAGGACTTTGTGTAGGTATTTCTGGAGGAAGTCGTTCTTGCAGTTCAGCCACTTCTCACAGCTGTCAACATCTATGGGGGATTGAGATCAGTTTAGTAATAGTTTACTTTATTTACAGATGGCAAAACAAATTTTGTGTGACATAATAATTAAGAAATCCTAAACATAGAATACATGATCACACTTTGAAATAAGGTTTCATCGGTTAATGTTAGTTCAAATATATAACACCAAATATATATAACACAAACTAGTAATGATTTATTAATCAAAATTCAACATTAACTATTTCATTCATTCATTTTCTTTTCGCCTTATTCCCTTTATTAATCAGGGGTCGCCACAGCGGTATGAACCACCAATATTAACTACTGCATTATTAAAATGCAAATTCAAACTTAATGGAAGTTAATAGTTAACATAAACTAACAATTAACAACTTTATGTAAACAAGGATAAATAAATACAGTAATAAATGTATTGTTCATTGTTCGTTCATGTTAGTAAATATACTCAGTATATATATTTTTAACGACAATCCTTATATTCTGGTTATATACAGTATATATACAGTGGTCTCTCGCTATACTGTAACATGGTTCACCTCACAGTTTTGCAGATTTTTTTACATGCTTTTTTCTACAGCGCATAGTGTTCTGCATCCTGATTAGTGCAGTGTTCTGCGTCCTAACTGCCTGTAGACTATTGTCAATCAGTCTCCTCTGTGCCATGTCTCCTATTGACCTTATTCTAAAATGCGGAAGTGCGCCTGTTTTCGCGATTGTCTTAGAACTTCCTATTCAGTCGCCTATGGGAGAAATGACTAGGAATAATAAACGGGAGAAAACGGTCAAACTACTTGCTCGACAAACAAATGTTTGCATGACTCTACAGACCAAGTAGAATATTACAATAAGAAAATATCAAATTGCAACATCAAGCAGCGTAATGAGCAGTTTTTAACGTCAAAAAATGAATGGAAGTGAATGAGACCGGAAGTCTCAAGCCAAAAAGATTCAAATGGCAGCGCCCGCTCGTCGGCGGAGAATAAGGTGAATACAGTACAGAATGCTTTAAGCTTTCCAATTTGACCTAAATCTTCTATCGCTAACAGTGTGCCTCTGAAGTGCTGTTTTCTCTCTTGATTGCAAGTTTTCTCCCCACAATGTCAACAAAAAATTCTACACTGTCAAAGGCGCCTGCGATAGCACCCAAAAGGCAGTGGAAGATGCTAACCATCCCACAAAAAGTTGGATTTATGGACATTCTAAAGCAGAGGTCACCAAACTTGTTCCTGGAGGGCCGGTGTCCTGCAGATTTTAGCTCCAACCCTAATCAAACACACCTGAACAAGCTAATCAAGGTCTTACTAGGTATACTTGAAACATCTAGGCAGGTGTGTTGAGGCAAGTTGGAGCTAAACCCTGCAGGGACACTGTCCCTCCAGGACCGAGATTGATGACCCCTGTTATAAAGGAAGGTAAAAGCTATAGAGCGCCATTACAGAATAAGTAAATGAAGATCAAATGATTTTAATCTTTGCTTCTTTCTATAATACTGGACTTATTTTTCTACGAAGGTTTAAACTTTGAGAGTGTTTAAACAAGAGAGAAAAGTGTGAAAATGTTAATGCCTGTCTGAGAAAAGTGTATAAAGTGTGTAGTGAGGGGTTTTACAGCCTTAAAACATAAAAAAATCAATAAATAAATAAAGCGGACTATTTTTAGAACGTAACTCCCAGGAATAACAAGGGACCACTGTATTTGTAATATTATTATACACAGGTTTATTAAATTATATCACTTAATATAGTAGAGGGTACTAGAAAATGTATCTCTCTGGATGTACTTAATTAATCAGATTTGTGTTTTATAATGATTTTATAACAACCCTATCTAATTTTAAATTCAAATAAAATTCAATGGAAATTGATCAGAGTAGCAGATGTTTTCATTGTCATGTCAGGGTTATTCCATCAAATCTTGCTTTCTTGACTCTTTAGTTCATTTAAAATACTGCTATTGTGTTCAGTCATCTTTTTATCTTAAATTTTGATTAAATATCATTAGTAGTTTGCAGAATTTTTTTTTTATTTAAAACATAAATTCAGAAAAACTGCTCTCAAATATATCATTATGTATATTTATTTATTTATTAATATAAATAATCATTACATATAAAACTATACAAATAATGATAATTTTTTTTATAGTTTTCCAGTAAGAATATCTCATCTTTATTGATAGATGATTATGTCATAAAAAAGTGTCATAAAATTGGCCATATTGAGATCTGTGGTTTAACACGCAATAGGGGGTTGTCTCTTTTTCCTGCCAAAACATTAAAAATATGTGAAGGCAGCAGCGGTCAGGCTAAAGCACGGTTGTTATTAACATTTATGTTCCATTGTGAGGAGATATAAAAAAAAAACACTTTATCCTGTTATGTTTTTAAACTACTTTCATTATTATTATGGTTAAACGAAAAGAGCTATTACATTCACAGTTCAATGCCAAAAGTGAGAGACCAAAAAAAAAAAAACTAAAAACTCCAAAGCAAATAGTGGGGGTTTTGGAAAAGGACTCTTTATTTTGTGGTCTCAAGAAGACTCTCTGTGGAGCATTTGTGAAAAATCTGAATGTCAGATCTTTTACAGTCTAACAGAACTCCCACAGAGTTCCTCAGGTCTCAGAGGAGCAGTTTCTACAACCATGCTGATTAAAAGCCTTTAGAAGTAGACATTTAGATAAATGAAAGCTAAGGCAAATCAATAAACATTTCAACTAACAAAAAAGTGCATTAGAAGCTTGAAAGGCAATTAACTTAGACTCCATTAAGAGATCCAGTAGTGCCTACATGACAATGGCTGCATCAACAAAACATCTTAATAATGGCTTTTTGTACATGTACCTTGTAAATAACTAGATAAATCAATATGCTACTCATTTTTGTTTCCAAATATTTGTATAAACTACGAAACAATGAATACATTAAAAATGCAGCCTACAAAACAGCACACTAATCCACCCCCATTTTTATATGTGTATATACAGTGCATCCGGAAAGTATTCATAGCGCTTCACTTTTTCCACATATTTTTTATATTACAGCCTTATTTCAAAATGGATTAATTTAATTTATTTCCTCAAAACTCTTCACACAATGCCCCATAATGACACTGTAAAAAATATATATTTTTAAATCGTTGCAAATTTATTAAAAATTAAAAAGCAGAAAAATCACAAAGTATCCACAGCCTGTGCCGTGAAGCTCTAAATTGAGCTCAGGTACATTTTGTTTCCACTGATCATTCTTGGGATGTTTCAGCAGCTTAATTGGAGTTCACCTGTGGTAAATTCAGTTGATTGGACATGATTTGAAAAGGCATACACCTGTCTATATACTGTAAGGTCCCAGGGTTGACAGTGCATGTTAAAGCACAAACCAAGCATTAAGACAAAGGAATTGTCTGTAGACCTCTGAGACAGGATTGTCTTGAGGTACAAGGCTGGGGAAGGCTACAGAAAAATTTCTGCTGCTCTGAAAGTTCCAATGAGCACAGTGGCCTCCAACATCCAAAAGTGGAAGATGTTTGGAAACGCTAGGACTTTTCATAGAGCTGGCCGGCCATCTAAGCATCTAAGCTCAGACTGGGGTGACAGTGTTCCAGCAGGACAGTGACCCATAGCACACCACCAAAATATTAATGACGTGGCTTCACAACAACTCGGCCTTGAGTGTCCTTGAGTGGCTCAGCCAGAGCCCAGACCTAAATCCAATTGAACATCTTTGGAGAGATCTGAAAATGGATGTACACCATCGCTTTCCATCCAACCTGACAGAGCTTGAGAGGTACTGCAAACAGGAATGGGCAAAAATTCCCAAAGACAGGTGTGCCAAGCTAGTGGCATCATATTCAAAAATACTTGAGGCTGTAATTGCTGCCAAAAGTGCATCAACAAAGTATTAAGCAAAGGCTGTGAATACTTATGTATATGCGATTTTTCAAGTTTTTTTATTTTATTTTATTTTATTTATAAATTTTCAACAATTTCCAAAAAATCTTTTTTACATTGTCATTATGGGGTATTGAGTGTAGAATTTTGAAAAAATAAATACATTTAATCCATTTTGGAATAAGGCTGTAACAAATAACATGTGGAAAAGGGGAAGCGCTATGAATACTTTCCGGATGCACTGTATACATGCGCACATTCAAATGACATAACTGGAAAAAATAAAATCAATATATATAAATAATAAATAAATGAAAATAATTAATTGAATCATTGAAAAAATAATGATAAAATAACAAAAACAATAATACAATAAAACTGAAAACAATATGCTATTCATTTGTTGCATATAAAACTACTATAGTATACCTACAATACTGAAGTACTAAATGTCCACACCACAGAGAAGCAAAATCAACCAACCTGTTCCCAAAAGCTCCGTGTTGTTTGCCATTTCATGAGGACTTGGTTCCGTCACAGGAATTATGTCATCTGTAAATGTAAGAGAGACAAAATTTGCTTAAAATCAGCAAGATATTTCCAATTTAAAAGACAATATAAGCTCAACTAGAAACAACTAGTAGAAAAACGAGTAGCAACCTACAGTACAAGTCAAGCTGGTTTTCCTACCAAAATAACCCATTTAAACTGGGCCAAATTAAGGTAGTAAAGGTTTGGCTCGTTAACCGCTGCTATTTGTCAAAACTATTCCAACAAAATATCTCACAACCAAGCTATACAGTGATATAAATATTTAATTACAGAATAGTGTGTGCATGCAATATTTATTTCCCATGATAATATTGTAACTCTTTATTAATATTGTTAATGTGTGTGACAAGAAACACTGTGTGATGAAGCCTAACATACTGCAGTCATAACAGGCCCATAATTCAAGTTATTAAAGTTGTAAAAAAGTATTTTTTCCTGCATAACATGCTTTGTTTTTGAACAAACCAATCTAGTGAATAATTCAATGATCTATTCATATAGACAGTGGCTTGTTCTTTTCTGAATGACTCACCCGTTTTGAACAAATCATTTGAATTAATGTTTATTAAGGGTGTGACGAGATCCGCTGTTATTCGTGAGATCTGACTGGTCTTTGTCTTGGCTCAGAGCGCCAAGTCAGTTTAATGATGGGGGTGTCTCCATCATCATCAAAGCAGACGACCTGCTTCATTCTGGACATCTTTCAGGGATGTAATTGTAGACCTACCTAAGCTACTGTGTATATAACATGATGATATTGTGTAGTCCTATAATGTGACGAAGCTGCTGACAATATGCAAGATTATGAAATCGATTTGAATGCCTGTGCGGCTGTGCACAGTTTTTCAGTGCTCACATTTGCATGTAACGACCACGTGCGCTCTACGTACATTATAAATAAAGCCAATAGGCACATTTGTTATTATCCTCTGCAAGCCATCTGTTCTTATGTCTTCATTAATTCAGTGCTATAGTCAGGCAACTCAAATTTAATATCTAAAAGTGTTACAGGTTTAGATGATATTACAAATGTGTACAAATATATTTTAGAATTAATTAAAATGATTAAAACACAGGGACCAAGCCGAAGGAAAGTGAAAGTGATAAACTCAGTGATATATGATTTTTCTCAGTGTGGAATGTTAAAGTATATTACGTTACTCAGTTCAACTGGACTGAATATTTTTACAGTTTAAATTGTCGATTGACATGAGCAGTTTATCACATTGGAATAAAGAGTCGACTAAATACAGGAAAAGTTATATTCTGTGAACACAAGAGAACTAACTGAGTTAGTGGTGCCATCTAGCGGTGGTGTGTGCTCTGTCCCGACATTGAGGTGTAAAGTATAAAGCTATTAAATATTTGTTAGGTCACTATTTTTAAGGGGGAGGGGGAGGGGGAGGGGGGGGGGTCTTGTCTTCCTTTTTTGTCCTCGGCTGATCACATGCCTGAACTGCCACCTGGTTCATGCTGGTGGAAGGGGGTATTCAGCGCCATTGTGCTTCAGGTGTTCAAGTTTCTTAATACAGTGCATTCAGAAAGTATTTATATCATATACTTTTGTATACTTATGTGAAACTAGCCTGGGAACCAGCACAAAAACACACACACACACACACACACACTGCAAAATACTTATTAGTTTTATCAATAAAATCACCCAAAAAACAGCAATATAATTTTTGGTCAAACATTTTTTTCATTGTTTTATTGACCAGTTTATTTTGAAAGACGTTTTCAGGGATGCTTTCTCCTCTTATCAACTGTCTGTTTTCTTAGCTGCTCAGAATGTGTCAAATGAAGCTGGCGTTTATGTAGAATCAGCACTGCAGAGCCTCAGATCGTGTTTAAATGTGTGAGCGAACACATTTTGTGCATATGCCCGTTTCCTGCATGGCAGGTTGTGGGCCGCCCTGTATCAGGGGCTTTTAAACTGAAAGCCCTTATTGAGCTGTCATGCTAACGCCAAGTAAACGCCTGCTGCTCTCAAAGAGTGGTTTCATAGTGTATACAGTACACACACAGAAGGCCAGACTGCTCCTTTTCTAACATGAATCTGGTGCCCCTGGTGTTTGTTCGACTTCTGCATGCTTGACAGAGATGAATGAGAAGCATTAGTCGACTTTTCCATCACTATCAGCATAATTAGAAGCCGGATGAAATTAAGATCAGGATCAGTAGTGAGCACATTTTGGGGAAGTGCATCGATACGTACGCATGGTGCAAACTGCTGCATTTATGTAATGAAGTGCATTGTGCGGTTGAAAAGGCCAGATTATGGCGCTGCTTCCATATGGTATTAAAACGTTTTTAATAATGGGAGCACAAATCAGCTGAGACACATTAGAGTTTACACTTAGTATTATTATGCATTTCTTAGGACCACTTGAGTCCAGATTTCACCAAGACCCTTCTCTCTTATTTCATCATGCTCTCTAAATTACTTTATCAGGAACACTCAGTCTGACACACAAGTGAATTACTATGGAATGAACAAATCCTTTTATTACAATACGTGTTTTGCTACAATGCAACAATGTACGAATACCTTGTTTCAGTGCACTTTCTTATAATGACCATTTCAAGAGTTCACACTTAGCTGATGATTGATTATAAAGCTTGTTTGGCATGCTGTCCCAGGAGAGCACCCTGAGCTCATAAGATCCTCGAGCCTGGGGCTCCCTACCATTTGCTGGGCAAGAGGGGAGTTTGAGCTTAGGTACATCTCGAGAACTCCCCTGCTTATTTATGGCTAATGACAAATTAGGGATTGCTATGCCAATTTGGTTTGGCCAATTTACTTAAGTCGCATGTCTTTGGACAGTGGGGGGAAACTGGGGAACCCGGGGGAAACCCATGCAAGCACGGGGAGAACATGAATATGTCTCATGTAAAAAGAAGAAATAAGTAATGTGGTAATGGGAAAATAATAAGCTTGTGCTTCATCCCACTCCATTTTTGACCATGTTGAAATTAATTTTTTTGTTAATGATATTTTATGTATGATATTTTTGTTAGAAAATAAATCAAATCAAATCAAATCAAATCTGTAGTTCCAGATCTGGTAAAATGTGAACGCGCTTTCCATTCATACACTAGCAGAGCAAGGGGAATCATGGATCATGGGACTGATCATGACGCAAAGATGACGATCACTGACAGATGGAGATTCGGCTGCGGGCAACATAGGGTTAAAGTTCTTTTTCACAACAATACCACAGTATAGCCAACCATGTGCTGTGGTTGTTCCTGTCATTTTTCTTATGATTGATACAATAACGTAGAATTCGCCAGCCGTTTGCTATTGAAGGAAGGAGCAATAGAGTTTATTATGTATGGGACTTTGTCAGACTTTGACAGGGACTTTGTCAAAAACTGTTACAGCTCATATGGACCAGTTTTTTTTTTTTTTGTCTGGATCATAACATGTAAGTGTGAATAAAATTGTTGCCTCCTTTTGTATAGTTTGCAAAATATGTTTAATTGTGTGTTATAAGTTGTAATCGCCCCGCACGGCTTGTAATCACTAATCTATTATACATAAGTGCTTGTATTAGATCTCTGAGGTTAAATCTTTACAGGCTATTCACATATTGCGTCCAAAATCATGTTGAAAACGTGCCGCATGCTTCTTCCTTTACTGATTTAAATGTGTTTCTGAACTCACCACCCCCTGCTGTTTGCCTTTGCTATGGCCACCATCAGCTGTTCCTACACATGCAAGCGGCGCAGTCAATTTTCAAAATAGTTCAGCTTTTGCCACTGTGTGGATTAATACTGAATGTGTGTCATTGTTATTATTGCGGTTAGGTTTAAGAGTAGAGTAATGTGCTGGTGTTTAACTGCATTGCTTTATTGCATTCTAGAGTTTGGCTCTCACGATGAATACAGTTGACCAATCACAACAGATCCAACGGGTCTGATCAGCGCAGATTAGCTACACATGGGGAGAGCTTTGAGAACAACTGAATCGCTCAACAAATCATATTAGACTCGTTGGCATAATTAGGTAAAAATAAATGCATATTATAAGACAATGAAAGTGTTTTTTAACCTTGCAAGCATATCAGCCTGTTGTTAGAGACCCCCAAACCAAAATATGACCTTTTATAATGCAAAATAGGGGCTCTTTATTAACAGGAGTAAACCGATCTTATGAGTGACAGTACTGACAGCCTTACCAGGACATCTCTCTAAATCACATGTCCGTGACTCTGTAGCAGTGCAGGCATAGCCACACGAGCGAATCCTCTTCTGATTCCCCTGTCCACAGGTGGCACTACATGGTGACCAATCACTCCATTCTTCCTCCTCATATTCTGCAGATAAAAAAAAACATGATTAAAAGAAACCTGAGACAAAAAGGATGCCCGTTCTACAAATTGAGGCTAACAAATTCCTCACACAGCATGTGGGAATGTTATGCAATGCAGGTCAGAGCACAAATGAGTTGGAGTAATGGTAAAGGAATTTCTTTACCAGCTTTTGAAAGAGAAATCTAGAATAGCTTCTCATATCTGAAATTGTACTATTCAGGTGCAGACTCGGATTTGAACAGGATTGACAAAGGACACATAAAATCCCCAAAACAGCCAATATGGTAAGTGCATCTCTCTGCCGTTTGCATAAGAAAGCAAATGATTAACTAAATTAATATTGTGTATTTCTTTGCAAAATGTAATCTCTCTAATGAACAAAATGTGGGCCCTCCTGGCAGGCCAGACTTACTTTTTTTGTGGTAATAAATATGTCAAAGGCAAAGTCAGCCGCGTACAGCTGTGAGAAGTGAGCCAATACAAACACTTCAGCAGGAAGGCAAGGCCTAATAGCTTAGACGCTTTCCAACAATGCTCTCTTTCCACCACCATGCTAAAGAGATTAAAGTTTCAATGCACTCCATGGCAGTAGAGATGGAGAGAGAAAAATAAGTGCACGGCTTCCTCACTAATGCATTTTGGATCCGCTGTTGCTGGTTACCAGGTGCCATTGGTAATTGTGAAATCACATTCTGATAATGAAGATGTGCACTCATGCTGTCACAGCAAAGAAAACACTGATTTCTTACCCGCTTTTGGAGGTTACAGTAAAAAAAAGAAAAAATAATAATAATAATAACAAAAACAGAAATATATAAAAAATTATAACATACAAACAAATCCCCAGTTGTTAAAAGAGTTCTTTTTTCTAGCCAACTTTCACATGGTTTAACAATTTTTATCATGTTATTTTATATTCGCGATGTGTGTTTAAGCTTGTTTGGTCAATGCTTGTTTGGTAATGTTTTATTATTTGTTTTAGCATGGCTGTTGATGCCTATTGTGAGGCAACCTTCTGTGTCTACTAAGGTGCCATTTACATATAAAATGAATTATTAAACCACACGGGAAAGCAAGGTTGCTGCCGGAAGTGGTGTTGGTGAGACCAGCTAGGGGCACTCAACCTGTGGCACTCAGCTGGTGTGTGGTTACGGTCTTGCGCAATATGGCTGCCGTCGTGTCATCCAGGTAGATGCTGCAAACTGATGGTGGATGAGGAGAACGTATAAACGTAAAGAATTAATTGATTAATTATAGTTTAACTGGTATTTACTGGGTGTTTTCTAAATTTACATTTAAATAAAGATATGTGCCTTTCAAACATAATGGGTACTAAAAAGCTACATAAAGAAACGCCTCCCTCATTTACATCTATACACTGAAAAGTTAAAAAAAGAAATGAATATGGAAATAAATAAATGCAGTAATAAATGAACACATAAACGAATACATTTAAATAAATGCATAATTAAATAAACAAACAGTATATATATATATATATATATATATATATATATATATATATATATATATATATATATATATAAATAAACAAAAAATAAATGAAGAATAAAAAGAATAAATATCTAAATGAAAAGAACATGTGAAAAATAATAAATGAAAGAAAAAATAGATATAATTAATTTATTTATTTATTCACGTTTAATTAAAATACACTTTTTATAACATTTATTTAAGTCACTGATTAATTTATTTTTCTATTGTTACATTTATTTAACAATTGATTGATTGATTGATTGATTGATTGATTGATTGATTGATTGATTGATTGATTGATTGATTAATTGATTGAAATTTTTTGCAGGTTTGTTACTCCATATAATGGACATTTTTTAAAATATTCAATCATTTTAATGATAGTATGCAATAGGTCTGCACAATATATACATCACAATGTAATCCTTAGCAATAGTCACATCACGAATAAACGCAATGTTGAGTCTGGATTATAATTTATTATTCCGCAGGTGTTTTGAGGCCTGTGACTGTGTGGGTTTTAAAAGCATGTACTGTTTGTAACTTTAAATAAATTAATAACAATTAATTTTATTGAGATGTTTATAAAAACAAAGATTATCCAGTATTATTTTACATTTGATTATTCAGTTTAAACTAAATACATTTCAAGTCTTAAAATGCTGTTTAATTTGCATATTTTTCTTTATTATTTATTTATTTATGTATTTATGTCTTTCCAAACAGTTATTCAACTTATCAAGTGAAAAGATATTCAAATCGCAATATATATTGCAGAATAAAAAATTGCAATGTGTAATTTTTTCAATAATATGCAGCCCCAGTATGCAATATTAAAATGCATAGAATAATAAAATGGCAGATGATAAAATGGGCCACTTACATTTCTATTTAGATGAAACCAGTGTAAGTTTGTTGCTATTTAAAGTGTTAAATCTGACTGGACTGCAATCCACAAAACTGTATATTTAAAATCTATATGTTCATGTGTCACAATACATTTTCAACGAAAGAACAGACACAATTTATTTTCAGTAAGAGTTGGTGTTTTCTAGCAGCACAAGCAAATGAGACCTCACATGCCACAGGCAGTAATAAGTTACTATAGTAAAACTGTGGTAAATAATTTTCATAAGGGCAGCGGAGAGGAAATAATGACCTAAAACTTAAAAAACAAAATTCTATCAAGCTGTTGCCGAACATGGCCTGCCTGTAATTCTGCGGCTCACCATAATTGCAGAAAAGCGCTTCATTACTGTACGCCTCCAGCTCAGACCACATCATTAATAATGTGGCTCATTTGCCCTTCTCTGTTTCCCATTCAGGCCTGTTTGTACACAACGCACTCCTACTCCTAAGTACACTCATTAGGTCTATTTTAAAGTAAGGGGATCCAGTGGGGCGACAGAAAGAAGCCGGTTGGGTTTTGGTAGCCACATCCTCACAGGCTCTACTGCTGACATGACCACAGTATGCATGCTGCAATTGCTTCTTTTTTGGCGGGGTGTTGGATTTGACCACACACCACCAATGCACTTTCTCTCTAATGATGCTGACAGAACATGGTGGAACACAACCTCAGTGGTGGATCACCCCGAAAGCCAATGACAGATGGAGGAGAAAAATGCCCTTGTGAAATAAAGCTGGGTAAAGGATAATGTAAATTCCCAATTTTGAGGCTATTGCAGCGCTCACAAGTTAAACAATCCTAATGAGGGCTTATTTGTGTGAAGGTTTTGTGTAGCAATTTTTTTTCTGCTTACTATGCTGAAATGCCTAATAGCATAGGCTATAAATGTTTTAAAATATAATAAAAATGTATGAAATAGAATGAAATGACTAAATACCAAGATGGGTATAACAGCTAGAAATACCAGCTACTATCTAACCATTTTGAATTAATGGTACATAGTAATAGAGAGCAGTATGCAGTAGGGCTGTGCGATTAATCAAAATCAAATCGCAATAAGCGAGCTAGTTGCAATAAGCTAAACGCAGGAGGCTGTGATAAGAAATATATATGTATCATTTAATTAAGTCTTATAGCCTGTTACCACTGAGTGGAACATGTCGGTACGGGTCACAATTATCAGGCTTGCATTTTCACTGAAGGGTTCCAATGGTACCTTTTTGGTGGGTATGGTGTACGACAGAAAGTTTCTGTCGACGTCATTCTAGCTTGAGGAAATGTCAAAGTAAAGCTGTACTGGTCATTCACATTTCGTATGAGAAGCACTTCTAACAAAACAGATACTATACACATAAATACTTGTGTATACATGATCATTATTATCCTTCCTATAAACATAATTTGATTAAAACTGCAGATCAATAAAATATAACGAAATAGCCTACTGATACATCTGCAATTATATAAAATAAATAAATCCAACATATATGAACACATACAGACCCTTACAGTCTCCAGTATGCTACTAATGACTGAAAAACTACACACAGCATACATTTAGTCCTTATTTGGGTTTAAAAACACCACGCAGCATATATCTCACAGTTAGTGCAAACCTCTCATCTATATCTTTAATCTTCACCAGCACAGGTAACCTCTTGTTAGACAGTAATTCCGTCATTCCAAGTTAATAATAGTCTAAAAGGTGATGATAATAGGTAAACATGGCAGTTTGTTCATGTTTTAGGTTGCTGAAAGAATCATTTGCTCCTTCGTGTTTTCGGGCTTCTCCTTAGTTTTTTAATGTGTCTCTCACATTTGTCTGTTTCTGAAAGGATCGGATGTGAGAAGTGCTTCAATAATCATGCACATGTTATTATCATCAGCTCACTAAGATTGCTATTTAAAAATATAGATGCGCGGCGAGCGCCGGCAAGGAAGCAAAACTACTCGCGCTTCAGACAGACTTGTAAAAACTACGGGGCACAGGGTAGATTCTGCTCTACTTCTTGGCTTTGAGGCTGTTCATCAAGACGATGACAAGGTTTATTTGAGCTCGGGTCGACCATGGCTCAATGTTATATGTATTTATTATTACAGTGTAATGTCTCTGCTGTGTTTTTAAAATGGCGCTTTATTTTCATTCTCGCTTGTTGCAGGAGCAAGTGACGTATCTCTGTAAACCAAAAGCGTTCAGTTGTTCGTCTTACTCTGCCTTTTGGTACCCTTTTGTTGTGTTAGTGGTACAACAAAAGGGTAAAATAGGGTACGGTATGGTTCGCTTTTAGGTACCTTTTGACAATGGTAACAGCTATTAACCACCCGTACCAAACCGAACCGTACCACTCAGTGGAAACAGGCCATTACTAGCCAATTGAGTGAGCACACTTTTGTTCTGCCCAGTCAGAATTGCACAATTGTATTATGCAGAATGCCCACAATAAAAAAACAGCTAAGCATGGACAAGTGGGATGATGGCATCTGCCTCTTCAGAAGCATTGACAGACAAATAATATCAAAGAAAAACAGCACATCAGTAATATGAGAATATTTTGGTTTCAAAGTTCAAACATCGAAAAAAAAACAGGTAATTTGTTAGAGCTGTCGCAGAACTATTGCCCCAGCATGAGGAAGTAACACAACTAGCACTTGAAAAACAGAAACTGTCAACTAAAAGTATTGCCAGTAACACTTAATCTAGTAGCAAGCAACAGCAAAGTACAATTTTAGAGTTGTTTGCGGCTATTACACAGTATGAAAAAACATCACAAAGGCACCAGGAGATCACGAACAACATAACTCACTACTGCTCTGGAGTGTTTTAAATTCTGAATATTTAAAAACATATTTGAATAAAAAGTTGGAGTTAGTTAATATTATTTTAGTTTCTTTTTTAACTAACACTCATTAGGGTTGTCACGATACTGGAATTTGATACCAATCGGTACTGAAATAAAAAAAACGTCCATTTCCAGCAAATATTTAAGCGATGTTAAGCATGTTCTTAAACAGCACTGATTTGCCATTGTGTTTACGTTCTCAACAGAGATTGTGATTGGTCGTGAAGGTCATCAGTTCACCGAACTCACTGCTGTTTACTGCGTGTAACCACAGATATGGGCGTTTTAACAGCTGAGCGTTTTAAGCTGCAATTCAACATCGGATCGCTCGTATGTCAGCTTATAGACAAACCAGCTGATCGACGTGACTTTGAAATGCTCTAGTAGTCCTGTATCTGTGGTAACACTCAGTAAACAGCAGGGAGTACGGTGAACTGATGACCTTCACGGCCAATCACAATCTCTGTTGAGAACGTAAACACAATGGCAGATCAGAGATGTTTAAGAACGTGCTCCACAACCCTAACACTCACTGCATTTTAGTATTAAGAAGCTACGATACAGAATATTGAGCTGAAGCTTGACTACAAAATTTAATCAGAAACCAAATCGAAATCTCAATATCTGTTAAAAAAAAATTAAAAATGAATCGCAATTAGTTATTTTCCCCAAATTGCACAGCCCTAGTATGTAGCATGTTTTAAACTGATGCAAATCATTTTGAATGGGTTTATTTATATATGTTTAAAACATAGCAGACCTGATTTTTTTGTAATATTACTTCAGTCTTCATTATCATATGATCCTCCAGAAACATTTCTTATTATTATCATCAATGCTGGCAACCGTTGCATTGCTTAATGTATATTTTCAAATTTAAGGATTCTTGATGAATAAAAGAGGGTAACATGGTGGCTCGGCGGTTAGCACTGTTGCTTCATAGCAAGAATGTCGCTGGTTCGAGTACCAGCTGGATCAGTTGGCATTTCTGTGTGAAGTTTGCATGTTCTACGCATGTTTGCGTGCTCCAGTTACCCCTACAGCCCAAAAATATGCGCTATAGGGAAATTGGATGAACAAAATTTGCCGTAGTGTACGAGTGCATGTGTGAATGCAAGAGTGTATGGGTGTTTTCCACTGGGTTGCAGATGGAAGGGCATCCGCTGCGTAAAAAATACGCAGAAATAGTTGGCAGTTCATTCTGCTGTGGCAACCCTTGATAAATAGGGGACTAAGCTGAAGGAAAATGAATGAATGAATTAAAAAATTCTAAATATCAGCCTATTAGGTGCAGTTTTAAATGTTCATTGTGACTTGATCAATTTGAATACATGTTTACCAAATATAACTATTCATTTAAAAAAAAACACATTAAAGCCACTAACCCTAAATTTGTGAATGATAATCTATATGGTTATTTTGTCATAATATAAGTCATTATTAAGTGGTGCCAACTAGAGGCAGAAAAAAATTTAAATAAATGTTTTAAGTAAAATATTATACATGTCTACAGTTTATTATTGTTTGCCAATTTTTTTAAGGCCTCACACATGAAACATAGTGACTGAATGCTGTAAATTACAAAGGCAGTAAATATAACTTCGGTGTAAAAAAACAAAAAAGAAAAACAATTTCCCTCCAAGGCCTGAGAACTGCCACAAATTCCTGAGAGAACTCAAAGGTCCAGGCCGTGTGAATCACAGCAAAGCGCCAGTTTGGGATGAAAACACAGCGGATGCTTTCTTTGTCAGCCCGAGCATCCTGGCCCTTCTTTCAATCTGCTGTCTAATTGAACAAAAATATTAGTTTTTTAGCCAGTGAAGAGCCCCCATGCTGCTCTTAGCGAGCGTCGAGGCATAGGTTTCAAATAGCCACGATTACTGGTGTCAACTTCAAAGAGGACACACTAAGCTGATGCTCGAGCCCGCTGTCACTAACATGAACCAGACACAGTGTTGAGTTTGCTCCTGCAAGCTCTTATCCAATACTTTCACTGTGTGATACTTTATTCAGTGTATACTTTGAAAAGGTTCAGAGCACTTGATGATAGGTTGTGTTCTGTTTCTAAAGGATAAAAATCGCATTTAAATTGTATTTCAGCACTACAGTTGGCCCCGTATGTAAACATTTTGAGGTAATGATCTGCCTAACCCACAAAGAAGCAGTCTAGTGGGGAGATAACATGCATAGCACAGCTAATATTGTGATAACATATTAGGGCACAAAGCACTGGGTCGGCTTTCGCTGTTTACCGCTGATAGGCATCAACAGAAAGTCTCTGGAAGTGGCGACAGAAATGACATGTTTATGTAGCAGTTCTTGACTACAACCCGCAAAGCATAAATCATAATGTCAAGACTTAAAGAGGAGGCTGTGGCCCGCATTGCTGAGGAAATCAGCGCGGTATACGTGCCCCGGCGTTACACGAAAGCCCCAACATGATTACTGATACTTCTGATAACGAGGCTGGTGGAAAACAAAAACTAAAAAAAGAGCTTCCGATTACACAGTTGGAAAAATATGAAAACATTTTAATCCAGTCATTTTTTTTTTTTTTTTGTGGACTCACAAACTCTCATTTATTCATTTTCCTTTCGGCTTACTGCCTTTATTAGTCTAGGGTCGGAGTCGCCACAGCAGAATGAACCACCAACTTATCCAGCATGTGTGTTTACGCAGCGGATGCCCTTCCAGCTGCAACCTATCAATGGGAAACACTCATACACTCCCCTTCCTACACATACACACTACAGCCAATTTAGCTTCCCCCATTCACCTATAGCAGGGGTGTCAAACTCAATTCCTGGAGGGCCGAAGCCCTGCACAGTTTAGTTCCAACTCTGCTCCAACACACTTACCTGTAAGTTTCAAACAAGCCTGAAGGACTCAATTAGTTTGATCAGGTGTGTTTAATTAGGGTTGGAACTAAACTGTGCAGAGCTGCGGCCCTTTTGGAACTGAGTTTGACACCTGTGACCTATAGCGAATGTCTTCGGACTTGTGGAGGAAACCGGAGCAGCCAGAGGAAACCCACGCGAACGCGGGGAAAACATGCAAACTCCACACAGAAATGCCAACTGACCCAATTGAGACTCGAACCAGTGACCTTCTTGCTATGAGGCGACAGGGCTACCCACTGCACCACCGCGCTGCCCCTTACAAACTCTATCTAAGAAAAAAAGTCCTTTTTTTACCGTAATTGTCCGTAGAGTCCCAGCCCTTCCATCGACTGTTCCAGTCTGCACCCACACCACTCAAAAAGGAGTCTTCTCCTTCATAGATGAGGTCCTCCTCATTCTCCTCCAGACTGCCTTGCCCGGGACCTTCCTGACTGGAGTCGTGGTATTCCCAAAACAGTGGCCAGAAGAGCTTTTTATGGCCTAGCCATTCCTCCGAGCTCAAGGACCAGTCGTTCCTGCTCTCCTTGGCCAGATCCATCTCAATCTCCATCTGTGGGCTGTCCACAACCTCAATGGTCACCTAGGAGAGTGATTAAAATTTCTATGTTTATCTGAAATCAATGCATAATTCTACAAAACCCTGTTTAGGGTGGTCAAACTGGATTTTGGAACACGCTAACCAGTTGCTGGTTGAAGATGACCTATCAGCCCAAATCACTTTGAATCTATCTCCAATCATCTACACGTTTTGATCAGTTAAATACCAGTTTGGGCCATCTAGAAGGACCACGTTCCTGGAGCACATTTTCCAGAGCTGCGTCCCAAATCGCATACTTATGTACTATTCTACGCCATTTTGTAGTATAAATAGTGTAAGTAGTGTGTTCACACTGAAAACTCTAAAAATAATAAGTGCACTTTAATTACCCGGATGATGCACTCATTCAGCCGCTAAAATGAAGTATGTAATGATGGACACTTCACGCACTCAACGACCGCAGGTTTGCTTACGTAGCGGAAGAGGCGGAGCTATCGGACGCACATGTTGAATAACTTTATTTATTTTGGATGGTGAGAACAAAATTCTTCTACGAGAGTGATTATAGTGCCTCCCGATGGTGAATGCGGCAACACTCACGGCAGGTAATATTTGATAATTTGGTCGTTTATTTCACTGATTTGGCAACCGTCAAACGTCATCAGGGAAACGGTTTGAGTTTCCGCTTAGTAAAAAAACATTAGTGTGCCATTTGGGACGACACTACATGCGTATACTATCCTGTTGAGTGTGTAAGTGCATAAGTACATAGTGCATGAGTGCATAGTGTATAGTGTGCCATTTGGGACGCAGCTCAGGTCTCCTTAACCAAACACACCTGATTCAGATCACCAGCTCATTAGCAGAGTCTGAAAGACCTATAATGGGTGTGACAGACAAAGGAGACTCCCAAAACATGCATTGTTGGTGGCCCTCCAGGAACATGGTTGGGAAACACTGATCTAGAATTTATGTAAAAAAAAAAAAAACACTACTGAAAGCTTTTTTTAGTATCTTTTTTGGCAATTGAGAAAAGTAAGATCAAATGAGTTCTCTTTTTAGATTGTTAATTAAAATATTAATTGAATAAATTCCTAAAACTAAATGGTAAACTCCTGCCACAGGCCATTTGTATCTAGTATTAAGACATCATTTAAATGTGGCAAACCCAATCGAGTATACACCTAGTGTTACAATCTGTATCTTTTGTCTATTTTAAATCACTTTTTGAAATTATTTGAGGCATCTATGGGAAAATTGAGAAATAAATTAATTCAATTTACATATAAACACAAAAAAGTATACAAAGAGCAGCCAGCAGCTTTTGATTTTGATCGGATCTAATCTGAAAAACTATGCGGAACACTGTGAGTTTGTATCATTCATGCCATCTGGCAGAAATTTACCTATATTCACATATTTGTATTGACTTTTTATGTAATATACTTACACAAATACTTAATTTTGCTTTTGTTGTGAACCCAGCATTAGAATAAGGACTGGTAATAATGTATATTTTACATACATTTTCACCTTTAACCTTATTACTTAAATTCAGTTCAATTCAAGTTTATTTGTACAGTACTTTTTAAAATAATTTGACAATAATCAAATTTGAAAAAGTTATGGTTATTAGTTACCAAGACTTTATTAGTAATAACTTTAACTAATTAACTAGTAACTAATAGCTTTCAACAGTTAAAGTTATTATATATAAACATATATGAGGTATATTTGTTTAATAGGTGCATGTGTTGTCCTTGAAGTCTTCGAAGGTTGGCATCATCTATCATATTGTGATTTCACACAATAAAGATAAAATTTGTCTGTGTAGCACACTTTAATATTATGTCCCCTAATGTTTAAAAAATATGTCAGTAGGCAGTAAAGAGGTGGTGTTTAGTGGGTGTTCACACGCATTCAACAAGTTGAGAGTCCATACTGTGCAGGAAATCTGAGCTAATGCATCTTCAAATACCTAAAGTGGACATACTCCAAGCGTTCCAGATCCTGTTTTCACTTGTATTTAGCATTGTCCACTTGTGATCGACATAAACTAAACTTAATACCTGGTGTAAGCAAGGCCACGGTGGAGAAACAACTGATGAGAACTCTATCAGCCCATTAAATACTATGCTTTACCATTCAAAGTTCAAAATTGTCTTTACTCTCCTGTTTGTTTATTTCACAAGATGTTTTGAGGTGACAGATTTGTTCTATGCATGCTTGGGCTTGCAGAACCCAAGTCAGACAGACCAGGAAAACGATAGCAAGTGTTCCAGCAGGCCAAGACAAAAGACTGGTTGTTTATTTCCCCTTCAGCGTAACAATCTGATGGCTGCAGCAGCTGTTTATAAAGGCACAGAGCAGTTTAGAGTGGGTGATTACGCTACTGTAACTGCACTGTTTACAACAGTCGGCCTCCACCTCCTCCTTGAACTAATCATAGCTCTATTCTACTCTGATACTTCACAAGAACACAAGACACTGTTTTCAAGACAAAAACATCCAGGGTATAGATCACTGGAGGTCCATTAAATGGCAAATTTAAGTTTAATGGGAACACAGATGTTTAAGAGATCTAAGCTTCTTTTTAACAAATTTGCTTCCACTCAATAATGGTGAGTCATGGAAAAAAAAGATGGCATAGAAGTATTTTGAACTTTAAAAAATACTGCAAACATAATTTTTATAACCAAACCTGCTAAAAGTAATTTATATATCAAAGACTCACAAATGGGTAAATCATACTAGTTTGAAGGGGATTGGCAAAATATCAAGCTCTAAAATGGAAAGTATTTTGGGTCTTTACAATAAAAGATCAAAGTATTTTGATAAAGGATGCAACCAATTTCACTATTATTTGCCGGCAGCCAGCTCTCTGCAACTCTCACATGTTCGCCCACTGAAGCTAAGCAGGGTTGCACCCGGTCAGTAGCTGAATGGGAGACCATGTGGAAAAAGCTAAGTTGCTGCCGTAAGTGATGTTAGTGAGGCCAGCAGGAAGCGCTCAACCTGCAGTCTGTGTGGGTCCTAACACCCCAATATATTGAAGGGGACTCTATACTGCTCAGTGAGTGCTGTCTTTTGGATGGTATGTTAAACCAAAGTCTTGACTCTCTGTGGTCATAAAAAAAAAAGAGAAAGGGTTTAACCCTGACACCCTGCCCAAATTTGCCCACTGGCCTTTGTCCATTATGGCCTCCTAACCATACCCATACTTTGTCTTATCTCCACCAATTAGCTGATGTGCGGTTTGGCACAATATGACAGCTGTTGCATCATCCAGTCGGAAACTGCACACTGGTGGTGGATGAGGAGATTCTCCCCATTATGTACGCAATTTGAGTGTCTAGCGCTATATAAATGTAAGGTATTATTTTATTCATCATGGTTAATTAATCGCAAAGGCTTCTCAACATCGCGTTTCTGCACGAAACAAAACTGCTGCAACTGTGCACTGTTTTAAAGTTCCAAGCTTGTACACCGAGGGTTAAGGCTGATTTATACTTCTCCGTATGCGTATGGTCTGGCACAGCCTTCGTGCAGTCGCATAGCCCACGCCGTGGCTAACGTCACACTGCATTACCTATTGATGAGGCTATTAACCAGGGGCTATTAAGAACATGTGTCACGTCTTTTGTGCACGCAAGTTCGTTATTTCCAATGTAGGTGCAAGACTTGTGCGCATGTTGTGATTGACCCATTCACACTTTCCAGGTGCACCTAGATGAAAAAATGCCATAAGTGCACCAAAAGGTCATGTGACAGGAACTGGACCGATCAGCTTCGTACTTTGTATGGAATATAGACATTTCTACTCCAACAAGAAATACAAAATGAAAATACCAAACAATGTTGTTGATTAAAAGTGGCCTCAGAGGTTCAGCAGCCTTTTACTACATTTAAAAAAATAAATATTTATGTAGCTTAGATTTACATTAGAAAAATTATTTGTATTTTTATTTATTCAGTCTAAAATTATTACTTGTTTAAATGTCAAAAAACTAATTCACTTATATTTAAGTCCACAGAGAAATTGACTATTGTTTGTTTTTATTAATATTTTGTGCTGTATTTGGTTACTGAGCAGCAATAAATAACACTTTAAATATATAAGGAGTTTTCAAATCTCAAAATCTATAATTGTTGCATCCCATCTTTTGATATGTTATTAAAGGTTTCTTGCTCTTAAGATGTCTGACATTTCAATGTTTTGTATATAAACTATAAACTACATTTCAGTGGATTTCTTCAGTAAGACATGGTGAAATATTTTGATAGTCTAAGCTTAAACTTTGAATGTTTTGATGTTTGACAAACCCTCCCTGTCTTTTTACATAATATTGGAGACACATAAAAACAAAATAGCTTTTCTAAAGAGTACGAAAGATGGACCCATTCCACTTGGAAGACTTTGGAATTTTCCCTATTATAAAAGTGAATTTGCTTACCAGGGATCTCCTGTGTATTTTTTCCCCTAAGTCTAACTTCGTTTCCTCTCAAGTCCACTTACACACATAAACTTCATAACAGTACTAAAAATATAAAAATCCCTTCTTTACCGGTGTTGTAAAAACATTTAAAGATTGGGATCTGCTCTTGGAGGGAGCATTAAAAGTGGCTGTTAAAATAATACTCTGGCCTTTCACCTCCTGGATTTTCTTGGGATTTTTTTTGCGTACACTATGCAGAACTTTGAGCAGTGTGGCTGAAATGAGCTACACCAGAATAAAGGTCTCGCTTGGGGTAATTTAAGAGGCCTCTCCGGTTTAGCGGCAGCTGTGACATGACCAGCAAAAGCACAGAAAACTGAAGTCCCTACTGCAATCACAGCAGCAATAACAGTGAAACAATGAGTGCATAGGTTAATTACATTCACCACAAACTGTTGCCAAGTAAAATCAATCCATTACCTAACTCATTATACAATGATTAAGTTCACCCTAAGGAAAGAAATGACAAGGTTTTGGGAACGTTGAGATGTTAAACATATCTGGAATAACAAACTACCCTTATAATATTAACAACTGTCTAAAGAAGAACTAATGCCAAGATATATAGACAAACAACGAAAAGAAACCCAAGACCCCCAAGACAGAAAATGACTGATTTAGTCTATTGACCTCATTTTCATATGGTCCAAGATCATGTAAACATTGATTTTTTTCTTAAAAATCATGTATATATAGGAAGAAATTTGATTTTGTAGCAATCAGAGTAACAATAAAGTGAGATTGAGCTTGGTCTTACTTGAATGTTTGGGTTCTGGGAGCCCAGGTCTGCATTGGCAAGGTCAGGGAAGTTCTTCAGGTCTAAAATGAAGGTTTCCTCTTCTTCCTCTGGAGCAGGTTTGGGAAGGACTCCCTCCGAGTGAATCCGTGACCATCTCCTTTTATGACGGCGAGGCAAAGGCAACTCGCTCCTTAGTTGGTTTTGACCCTGAATGTCTTGCAAAGACTGCTTGACATCCTTGGAGCCACCATGACCTCTAACCTGTAAAAAACACATAGAGTATCCTCATGAAAGGAACATCTGGTGATCCAGCGAGGCTTGTTCAGATAGATTCCCTATATGCATAAAGCCTCTAGAAAAGCCCAAAGATAAATAACTTCAGAGAAATTTCGTCATGCACGTAAAGAAGTTAGAAGATCTGTCTTAGTTCATCACCATATCAAATCTATACAGCTGTGACCTTACGGCCTGAATGAAAAAGATGTCTGGGTTTCAAATAAACCCATCTGGAGTGAAACGTCTAACACATGACAGCATATCAGGTGGATTTTGGAACAGGATTAGTAAAAATCATAGCAATAATTCTTTTACTTTAATGATGCAGGAAAAGCCTGTTTCCCAGACCTCTGGAAGGTCTCTTTCAAGGTTTCGTATACAAAAAGTGCTCTTCGACTTCTTTGATTTCCACGGTGCATATCTGTCAATCGATGCTCTGCTGGGTTACCATTAGCAACATAACAAAACAGACAGCAGAGAAACATCAACAAGGAAGAGGAATCGCATGCTTGCTGTTGCCGCTCATTCTGAGACAGTCATGGCTCACTCTCTTGACAGCTGTTTGACATTACGGGTAATGCCGCGTTCAGCGAATGGAGTGGGCCTGCAAATTCCTGGAGGAAGACTCAAGAGTCGGGACGGTGCATGCAGGTAAATGATTACACATTAAGGGATATGTATCTCTTTCATCTGGTTTACTTTAATATGGAGACATGCAGTCTGTGAGGGAACAAAAAAGGCTTCCCGTTGTCCTCAAACTATGACAGTACTCTAAAGCACTTGGCTGGTTCTTACTAATCATGTCAACCTAAAGTCTCAAACCTCAAGAATCAGACAGATGATGGTGATTTGTTTTAACATGTTAAGGCATTTTAAAGTGATTAAATATAATTGTATTGTTTAAAGTGTGTAATGCTTTACAATGTAACTGTAAGTAAAACATTACCATGTTTCTTCAAGCTGAATCAGATTCTGTAATGTCTTAAAGATTATTCATGAAGTAAATATAAAAAAATAAAACTTAAATGACCCGATTCGCATTCTCAATAAATATGAAACAAAAAACCATTATCAAATCATAAACGATCAAACAGTACTGAAACAGAATTGTGTTTACCATTATTTACATCGAATAAAAAGACATTCGGTGTAATAGTTTTGAGAATTCACACTTAGATTTTGCTTGATATAATTGTAGATTTGGCATGCTGTCCCGGGAGAGAATCCTGAGCTCAGAGATACTAGAGCCCAGGGCTACCGCCTGGGCATGTAGCACAACAGGGGGTTCAAGATCAGGTAGGTCTTGAGAGCTTTCCCTAGTAAAGGAAGAAAGGGGGAGATGGGGTGCAAGTTTTTTTTTTTTCAAAAACAAAGATGAAGAAAGTAGGATGAATGGGCTTATTTATTGGGGGCTAGAATTCATCTGATTGGTCTAGCAATGATATCTGATTAAATTAGCAATGATTACTGATCCAAGGCCAGCCACAATCAATCATATCACATGCTCCTCTCGAAATCAGTTTATAAAACTTTATTAAACACCAAACACTTGTCAACCATGTTTAACCAGATATACCAAAAAACATTGGATAAACAACAATTACCCAGCAGGCACAGGACGTCAACATGATATCAGATTGACGTTGTACAAAATGTCGTGGCGACGTTGCATTTTGCTTGGAAAAGAAATTCGTGCTGACGTCAGAACCCAACGTCAAGCCGTCGTCAATGTCCAACCTAAAATCAACCAAATATCAACATCTAATCATGTTACAGCTTGACGTTGAATAGATGTTATCACTACAACATCTCTGCGACCTTGGATTGGTTGCCTTACCTGATGAATATATGTCAATGTCAGTATTTGATGTCAATATAACGTTGGTTTAAGATGTTGGTTCAATGTTGGATTTTGGTCACTTTCCAACCTAAAATCAACCAAATATCATTGTCATTTGTCTTCGTTATTGGACGTCAAAATAACGTTTTCCTTAGATGCTGCCTAGACTTTGAATTTTGGTCACGACCTAAATCTAACCTAATGTTAATGTCTTATGACGTTGTGTGCCTGCTGGGTAACTCATTAGAAATCTGTTTATCATTCAATCAATTTGCCCAGGTTTTACCAATTTTTTAAAGCTAGAAGCAAGAAGATTTCTTGTTTTCATTTCGTGTCATTTAAACTAATATAAATTTGAGTATGTGTTTAGTATCACGTGTCAATATAAAACTTTTTAATTAGATCAGGATATTTATGTTGTTACATAAAAATATATGTTACACTAAATGGCAAAATAACATTATGTCACCTATATTTTGACATTTTGTTTTACATTGGTCATTTGAAAGATGATTTAGACTTGATTTATTTGATGTGGACACCAAAATCGGATGCCTTAGCTTGAAAATAAGAAGAAAATGCTTTTGTCGAAATGAAAAGAATAAAAGATTATCACAGCCTGAAATGAAACACGGCTCCTACATTTTGGTTCTATTATTAACTACTTAAATTTTTTTTTTGCTCTATTTTTCCCCCGACCCACACATAATACAAAACCAACTTTTTCTATTTCTTTAAAATATACATTGACGAATTGTGCAGAAAAGGCTCAGGAACGTTTAAGTGTCAAGACATAAAAAGGGTCAATGTTCATGTTGTCTTTAGCTGCATGCATCCTCTCAAACATGCAATAAGCACCAGATGAAACACAGTTTCGACTTTACATTTTTGGGTCATGCTGCGCTTCAAAGGCTTCTCATGGAGGCCCTGTCTATAAGCCACCAGAGACTTCAAAAGAACAGCAACACACACGCATAAATCAGGAAGAGACACATATGTCCTCATCATGCCCACATCATACTGAAAGCCACTACATCAGCCTTACTTTGAAATCGGCATCTCAAACTCTCAGGGAGGGTTGCACCAACAAAGATTGAGATTTAATCTAGATCAAATCAAGGGTTATATAATAATTCTGTTGCTCTAAACATTAAACTTTGCTTTTTAAAACAACAAGCTATATTTAAAGCATCGGTTTGATCCTGGAATTCCACAATGAACCTGGATTAACTAGAATTATGACGTGATTAAAACCAACAAAGGTTGATTATGTTCAATAAACAAGAAACAAAGCTTTATTGCTAATTATAACTAAATCTGTGAAAATTTGTTTAAGGAAGCTTTGTATGATCATATTAAATGTTTTCATTGACTTTTGTATGTCTGAAATACACTTTCACACAAAGCAACTTGTGTGAAAGTTGAGATGTTTGAACCTGGATTTAATTTTTGGCAATGAACTGGATTAACCAAAGCTCCGACACATTAAACTAATATTTAAATTTCAGACATGAATTAACTTTACAATTGCTTGCTAAGGTTAAGGGTTCTCAAAATTGATGTACTTATTTGGATTCATCTTGGTTTTTTTCTAACTGTCATGTTATGTGTCCTTATATACTGTATATAATATTTCCTTAAAATATTGTCTCAATTTGTTCCATTAATTGTTAGAAATCATTTTCCATTGGTTACAAAATGAGCTCCTAATACACTGCCATTTTCTCATTATGTATGGGTTAATTATTTGAAAGTGATCAATATACTGGCAGCTTATTATTTGATTTATTTGTATTCAAATTACTACCACTTGCATGCATGAATCCTTTGAAGTCACTCAAATGTGACAGTAATATTGTACACCTCTATTTGTAGACTGAAGAAGAATAAATTACAGCCTTATTACATATTTTAATCACATATTTGATAATACGTGTGTTAAAATTAGGTGATGCTGATTAAATTAAAAATAAAACCCAAATCAACTACTCCGCACGTAAATCCTTGTTGGTGCAACCCACCCAGATCATCTTGGTGGATTTCAACATGTGGCATCTCTGCTCTTCCTCACCATGAGGCTCGGTTTGATGGTCCCAATGTTCCCTTTCTTACGCAGCAAAGGAGAGAAGGGGGTGTTTGGGTCTGACTGATCAAAGCTTCTCTCTACTGATCATGCATGGCCTGCCTTGTCTCACTTCACTGCCTGTGTGTCTCCCACACGCAAAACAGATGTCCTCTGCTCCAGACGATAAACTTCACCCTGGCGCTCTGCTCAAGTTCATCATCACATGGGGCGAGGATAAGAAAGAGGAAGCTATATTATAATTATTTTTTTTCCATTAACATTCAGTATGTTCTGACTTGTTGAACGCAGGTTGCCTGAGAAAGACCTTCGTGTGATTACCGAATGTCAAGATGATATTAATGTTTTCAAATTCATTGATTCTCGACGCAATACAACTACAACTTAGGCCTTTATCCCTGGCTGTGATAAAAAAAGCGTTAATGATTAGATAAAACCTTAGCGAGAAAAGTTTGTACTCGTCTATTCAATGTTGTCATTCTGCGCATCAGCTTCCCATTCGTACTGTACGTAGCGCGAGTCATGATGTTCGATGCTAACAAATGACTCATATGAACTGATTCTTTTTAGTGAGTCTGTCAGATTTTACATGGCGCTGGTTTGAATCAAACTCAGTGAGTGAGTGACTCGTTTGAAGCTGTTACTTACGCTTTTGCTTGAACTGAATCAGCTAAAAACTGTTTTAGTGATGTTTAGTTGATGTTCATGAAACTTGTTTATACAAGACGTGTAATGTAAGAATCATATAGCATTAATTTATTAAATTAAAATGATATAAATCATTAAATCATATAGCCTTCATTGATAATGAATCAAATAGCATTATTTTGCTATTTGTCGTGTTAAATGTAAAATAACTACCATTAAATTGAACAATCTTCTCAAGATTTTAACGTTACCTCAGACCACCCCAAGGAGTGCTCATTATATCCAAACAGGGCATTTATTTCTAAAATTACTAAAACTTTCAAAAATACAAAACTTATGTTAGGTAGTGGTACTTTAGTTACACAGTCATAACTGATAAATAAATGTTGATTTAAAGCTTACCTGTTCCTCTTC